CCAGATGTTTATCACCCACAAAGAAATGAAGGACTATGTATTGGTGGTGGTTGTTTGTAATGGTGAGGTGGTTTGTCTGAAGAACAAAAATTATTAAAGAAAGAGTGAATGGGACAAAAAATACTGGTCTTTATCAAGGCTTGCCTGGTTTTATTAGGCACTCGATATCAGAGGTTCTACTGTAACTACCTAACTATGGGTTGCATAGCAAAACTTTGCAGGTCACTAATGAACAGAAAAAAGTAGTCTTGATTATACTTTAGGTAGATCATAGATGTGTTGGACAGTGCTTTGTTACTAGTTTGACTGTTTCTGTAACAAATTATTCTGAATGTTTTTTGAAGAGTCTTTTTCTCTGGGGTATTTGTTAGGTTAGACTTGATCTTCTTGTAGGTTTCATATTCTAATACTTACGAGCTTAATAACGTATTTCTGTTGCTGTGAAGCACTTCTTCACTGTGGAAACTTTGTTCTCCTTCAGTGACCCAATGGCAAGCATCCAAGACAGTTAACAGCTTCGGCTAACTAACATCATTGGCCTTCTTCGTTTGCTGGTAGAATTTTATGGTGGTGTCTTAATTTTATATTCACTGGGCAGTTCTTCTATTAGTATCGTATTATAATGGAGTTACATTTATTTCTGAAAGGCTGACTTTATTTTGATCAACTTTCTTCCTTTGGTAGACAGTAAATTGTGTGGTTGTGGATATATCTAGAGCGAATATGTTTCTTGTGTGAGGGCAAAGTCATTTACTTCGAACAGTTTCTTCAGACTATTGTTCAGTGAAGTTTATCGCTGTACATTTAGGCATAACTATAGCATTGAAGGGCTTCTTGTTTTGAGAACCAATTAGTGAATAGTTTCTTTACACAAATTTCTTTATTATACAATGGAACGAAGCTTGGGAAGCTGCATCTTGATTGAACCTATAGCGTCAGTTGTATTATCTATTTTCAGATGTAGGTTTTTGATATTATTCTGGGTCTATATATGATGATATTTGATCCTATTATGGATAATGAATTTATTAAGTTTCAGTCTTTGGCATTATTTGTCTTTTGTAGTTTAAACGCAAGCTACACAATGGACTATCTGTGTTTTGCCCACTTGGGGTATCGAAACCCGATTTATAGCATTATAAGTCCACGGACATGCTGTACCACTGGAGGGGGGGGGGTCTCATCGTAAAAGGGGGTTATTGTTGGCCTCAAGTCCTTAAGGAATTACAATATGCTGTTCGCATTTATGGAAGAAGGTATGATGAATATATAATTTAATTAACTTACAATTAAATCATTCTAGATCCCTAAGTACTTATTGTAAGGTTGTAGTGATTGGACTTCAAAGTTAGTAGTCTATATGATCACGAAGCCTAATAATTAGCTTGCTATTAATTACTTTTATTAATAGATATTAATTCGTTTATATACTACATTTTGACTATTACTCAGCTGCTATCTTCAGGTAAGTCCTCAGAAGCATTATTTGGATCTTCTTGTCAGAGAGGCAGGTGCTCTCTGCTGGTTTGAAGTCTCCCCCTTTTAGAGCTAAAATCCACTATCTGAATGATGTCAAGAAGGATATCCAGATTTTGCCAACTCCTATGCTACGTTTTCTGAGTTGTTATAAGTTAGTTGGATATATAGAAGGCTTCTTTTGTTTTTCTTTTGTGTAGTTCATACCCCATTGTTCTATTATATTTCTGCTTCCTTTTTTCAAATGATTGGCTAGTTGTAGATAGCTCAGTATTACAACCTTAAACGTCTATTGTGCTAATTGCAATGGTATTGTGTTTCAGATTCTGAATATTATCCTGAATTTATGCTGTTTGTATGTCAGTGTTATGATTGTGGAGAGACCATACCACTGAAATAGGGGAATATGGTTGTGTATCTTTATTTGCTTTCCTTATTCTTAGCAGTTGTATTCATTATGTTCTTCCCCAGTTGAAAATAAAATAATCGTGGGTGTAATTAAAAAAGAAAACATTAGAAAAAAAATGAAAAACAAAGGTAGATGAGCCACAAAACCTTTTTCTATCAGAGCATCACAGAAGAAAGCATTCTATCAAATGTAACTGATGGACTTTCATTTATAGACAGACCTGAATCCCACAAAAAGGAGACATACAAAGAGTTCAGGATTGTAATGATGTGGTGTTCTTCTGTTAGATATACACGACTGTTTCATTGACATTTAATACAAGTTATGATTTAGATAGTCATAAAGCGGGAGTGTTAAATTTCGTATTTTTAGAAACAATAATTTATCGCAAGTTTGACTACATAACTTTTTACGAATCATTTATTGCATAATTCAATTGTGAATTGACGCTAACCTTGATTCACATTGCAACTCTCTTGTATATATATATATATATGATATTTTTATATAAAAAATTTCATTATTTGGTGGTAAATCTCAATAATACTGAAAAAATGTACTTAGGGAATCTTATAATATCATTCTGATATAAAAGATTCACTGTTAGTTGTTATGTCTCTTTCAAATAAACTTTAGTGTACAAACACCCTATATAAAAACTAGTACAATTCCTCAAAATGTACACTTTTAATTACATTAGAAAAATTAAAACTGTCTCAAATGGTATTTTCATTATGTGTAGACTGTTAAAGAAATTTAATCAAAAAAGACAGGTAGTTCATGATTATAAATACCTATATTAGACTCTACACATCTAAGAAGAAAGCCTTCATGTATTTTGGAAACACCTTTAAAATATCTGGGTAATGATCTGATGGCCTTATACTAAAATATTTATTGAAATGAAAAGAAAAGAAGAGTTAATAGCTTTTTTTAAGTTTTAATAAATATTCCAGTAATTTATTCTCTCTATTATAAGATCTATTTTCAAGTTAATAAACTGTTGTATTATTCAAATATTTTCAATTAGCAGCTGACATAAATATAACCTTTTTTTGGTTACACAATAAAAATAATGTTATTTGAGACTGATCTATATTTTCAAGTATACTTTACACATTTTGAAACTTCTCAATTTGTCATCTTCAGGAGTGTTACAAAAGTCTAAGAAGAATTTTAGCATCAGGGAGTTGATATTGATATTCATGCTATTCCATACAAAGACATACTGGTCAAGTTAAAAAATTGCAGTGCCTCTGGATTTCTGTAAGATTGGACTGTTCAAACAGAGGTGGAAAACCACAGTCCTCATACACTACACATCATGGAAGAAAGCCTGCAAGAGGAGCAATATTCTTTGGACATGAGAATTTTAACATAGACCGTTTTGCAATGAAAATTAAACTGCAGTTGTCAGATAAAACATAATTATATGGGGCAGTAGCTCCAAAATCATTTTAATATAATGTACTCAATCTCTGGGCTAATAATGGCTCACTACTTTCATACCATACTTTCTTTTAAGCTTTCTTTTTTGCAACAGTTATTCAAATGCTAAAAAAAGTTCTGAAATACAAATTTTGAAAGAGGAACAGAATACTTTAGATTATGTGTAAGAACTTTCTTTCTGCTTCATTTTAAACATAATCAGGATGATTAATAAAGTAGTACTTGTGTGATGTATTCTCAATTAATTACATCTATTCAAATGTTTTTATATAATTTCATACGATATTTTATGTTGTATGTTAATAGTTTATGAGATGTATATAGTATACATAAACTACAGAGATTTTTTTACATGTAGAGAAGCCACTTCAAATTGTTTTTTCAAAGTTTTACTTAACTTATATTTGTTTGATTTCAATAACTGATTTAATATTCTGAGTTTTGATTGGTGGAAATAATCTATAGATATCTTAAAATTAACAAAATTAGGTGTAACAGTTATTTTTACAATCACTGAAACATTTTTGATGCAACTGATTTTTGATAATATTTCAAATGTATTAATTTTGTTATGACATATGTATTAAAAAGCATATTACTAATTTAACATTCTATTGAGTTAACGAGGATAATTATTAGTTGAAAACTGAATTAATATAAAATAATTGATAATTTACACTTTATATTTTATTGAAATATTTTATTTCTTTGTGATTATATCTCTAAATATCTTAATGTAAATTCCCATGGTTGCAGCAAAGGTGTACACACTGCTGTTATTGTAATTTAAATATAAATAATATTGTAGTGATGATTATTAGCCACATCCCAAAAAACCTGATTTTCACAAATACATATGACGGAATATATAGATTAATTTCATTGAATCTGTACGTGAAAATTCTGTCATGATCTTTGAATAAAACAATCAATTTGCAAGTTTTATTAACATTAATAATAAACTAGCCATATTGTACAAAGTACTTTTGCAAGTTTCTTTATCATCAAAACTTCTACCTGAATTATAAGACCAAAAGTAAACCAACATTTCTGTAGAGTATAATGAAAGTCATCCGAATTTTAAGGGGAAGTACTGAAATAATCTAAGTTTGCACACAAATTCTTATATTTGTTTTCCTGTAATATCTCCAAGTTTTCCTTGATCTATTCATTACTCAGCATTACTAAATGCTGCTGTAGTCAACACTGTACATTGTAAAAGGTCTTTTTTTTTTGAGAGAGACAACTGCACTAGATGGAGAATATTTTTAAATGTTTTTCTTTCATGTGACTATAAATTCTATATTTAGTCTGTATTGTTATTCCATATTTCATGTTTTGTAACATGTAAAATTTGACTTCCCTGAATAATAGTCCAACTTTCCCCGACTATCTGATTTTCCAAATTTTTTTGGAACCCTGTAATCACAGTGCCAACATCTAAAAGTTGAGTGGAATTTTTAAAATATCTATTTACTCATGAGAAGTGATATAATTTAAGCAACACAATCTCTCCCTCATAATAGTCTAGAAGACATTTTCAAGAAACCACACACATACACACTGTCCAACTGCAATACATTTAAGAATAGTTTTAGGATACTTCTCAGAAAATATCAACATATAACAAAACAATTTCCACAAATAAATATATGAAACAGAGATGTATGAAATGAAATATATGATGTATTTGTAACATGTAAGGAGGATTCTCTTTACATGTTAAATGGGAAGTACAGAGTTGCCACCTGAGTACAGTATTAAAGGATCTTAACATTTGTGATTTAATTACATATAATGTTGAATGACCAATCAAAAATTTCTTATGTTGTTAAGAAAAGCATTTCTTCTTTATTTTTGCACCAAGTGGTATATACTTTGTTGGGCAGAAACAGGTGAATATCACAGTGTAAAGTAACAATCTAGGATTGCTTCAATCTATACAGAAAGATTGGTCTATATATGCTTCAGCTATAAAAACCATGATAAACAGTCCTTTAGAGAAAGATCTGGCTATTTAGTCAATATATAATAAAGCACCTCATGTTTCCATTAATGACTTTATTTTATGTTATTGTACAAACACAGAATATAATTATAAAAGCATTCTCTTGTAGGAAATTAACCTTCTGTTTTGTACACAATGATTTCACTTATAACACAAGGGAGAGACCTGAATATACATAATAAGTAAAAACCTTCTAATTTCAACATATTCATTTACATATTCCTAGGGATTAAATCTTTTTCAGTGCAGACATTATGCAATTAGCAACCAAACAATAAACAGAATAGCTACCCAGAGGAAAACTTTGGACAAAAACTGGTCCTCTTGAAACTCTGGTGAGTGAGGAGCTGAAAATACCAAAATACAAGCATTATCTTGCAAAAAGAACATCAATTACTTTTCCAGCAACATATACAGTAGAAAAAACTAACTTTTTATTTACTTCAAATATATGTCAAATAATTATATTAAATATATATACACGCGTGCACGCACACACAGAATAAATTATAATTCAGTATGTCACCCATGATGCACTTCTTATTTTTCTCAGAAAACTTGATTTCAGAAAATGTTTTTACAGCATTTACAGTAAGAGGTCAAAATTAAATTTTAAACCTCACTGATATTATATTAAATTGATTTCTCATATATTAAACACAGTAATATTCTTAAACATAGTTATTTCTATAGTCAAATAAATATCAGTAAGCACTAACTTTGTGATGTTACATATTGAAGTTTCTGAAGATGTTTTAGTCCTCTTGTTAAAATATTTCAAATCTCAGTAAATTATCAAGAAATTAAATACTATTACTATTATTATAATTTTAAAAATAAATATAATACTGTTGTGTTTATATCCATCTCTTGATTTTTGAAGTGCATAATTTTTCTTCTTCCCTACATTAAACTTCAAGTTCAACACAGTTATTGGATACTAAGTCACAAGTTATTGATTAGTTATGCAACAAATTAATAATTTGCAAAGAAGCACATTAAGCTACTCAAATTGGATCTTCCATACTTTGCCTTATTCTCATAAATTTAGCATTCCATAGTAGCTTATTCCTCACTGTCCTGTTCTTTATAATCAAGTGAATGTTGAAATACAGTGGCCAACTTCTCAACTGTGGATATCTTCAATAACTTTATTATTTTAAGGTTTACAGTTCCCTAAACCAACCAATTCTGCTCATTGGCTACAGTGACCAATAACTATAGAGGGTCACAAGCCTTTCTGTCAAGAAACTCCACAACACATATAGCATCAAACATGGTTTTATGACCAAACGGGCAGTTTCTTGTACTAAAATTATCAAGTACTCTTAGAACATGTTTAATCATTATGACCTTCAGAAGTGGCCATACCCACAATAAAATCACATGCTGAATCAAATTCCTCATCACCCAGATTCTTCCCTGTAAATGCAAATCTGCCAAGTACACTACATTTAGGGCTAAGATAACTTAATATTACCTATGAATGTTGTTCATTATCTGTTTCACCTGAGCTTTGGTTTGTTTATTTTGAAATAGTAGTAGTACTCTCATGTTTTTATATTGGTGGAAATATCCTAAATCTATTATTTAAACTACAGTATGACTAATTTTTATTGTGTCTTATAATTATATGTAGTACATCTCAATCTACTGGCTGCCTTGTGTCTGCTAAAAACAACAAGTGATACTTACTTTCTGTATCTGATATCTGGTCTAATGGTGAAAGCAATAATAAAAATGATTGCATAGGATATAATGAATGTTTGAGATCTGATACATAGGACAAACAGTGCAGACAGGAATGACAGATCTTTCATATCCGAAAGCAGTCAAGGAATAAACTTAAAGTTCTAAGCCAAACAAATCTGAATTCTAAGGAAATAAAATAAATACTTACATGGTGCTGGACGACCATCACCAAAGTTAAAAGTTGAAGCAAAGAATCCAAATGGAAAGGCACCAATGCCAAAAGACATGTGAAACCCTCCATCTCCAAATCCGAAACCTGGGAAGGACTAGGGAGAAAAAATGTTTCAAAATCCAAATAATTCTGGCCTTTAAACCTGACAATGTTTTAGAAGCAAGGTTTTTATCATATCACTTAATAACATATTATAATGCAAGGACATACCAATGATTATTAAGTTATCTCTTTATAAAAATTTATACATAGATATTAAAAATAATATTTTGCTAAAAATGCAAGAGATAGTAAACAAATAGCAGTTCTTACATACATGTCATTCTTCATTAAAAGACACACAAAATACTTTCAACATTTGCAAATCCAGATTTTTGAATCAGCTTGAATATCAAAAACAAAGCATTCAACTCTTAGATCAGTCAGGTTTATTGTATCATCATTAGTGTTATGGTCTGTAATAATACTGAGTCCATTTTTAATTTTATTGAGTTTATAACTTCTCTTGTTCAATAACTTTGTAATCTTTGGTGTTTTTCTTGAAAATGCCTGAAGTACAAGTTTATCTCTTACCCATTTCTCTCACTTATATGTTAAGACAAAATCATTTTCTTAATTCTTAACAATCTGCTTATATTTACTAAAAAATGAAATTCAAACTACAAAAAAATCAACATTTAATCAATAATAATTTCTTGTAGTTAGAACATACTGATTAAGGTTATGTGGTTTGTCACTTGAAACCAGTACAAGAAAGAAGTTACATAGGAAACAGCAAATAAAAATTAGTATGAAAAACAAATATTTACATATGGGATTGCTCCCCTCTATTGTATGAAAGATCACATTTTCCTACACTGAAAAAGTATTTCTGATATATTCTTACTTTTACTCACAGAACAGCTTTTCTCACCTTGTACTGCCCTCTATATATATATATATATATATATATATATATATATATATATACACATTTTTGCTCACCACTAGCCTTGACACTCCCACCTACCTCACGTTTTTGTGTGAGACAACTACATGATATCACACAAATGAGCATGCCACAACTCTCCACCAATAGGAGCATGAAAACTCCCAGCACAACTGACTCTCTCTATGCAGCTTAGCCCAAAATCACTTTGAGATTGAGCAACAGAAAAGGAAAAAACACTGAAAGTGGACAGTAAGAAAGGGAAGTGTGAGAAGAGGTAAGAATCTTTCAGAAATACATGTTCGGTGTAGGAAATGTTAACTTCCAATATGATATCTTACCTCTTCTCACAGAACAACTAGAATCCCACACTCACTTAGTGGAAGGACTGGTGTAACATTACCTAGATGACCCCCCCCCCCTTCAGAAAATGTCCAAAGAAAGCCCATGGGGTGTGTGAATAAAGAGTTTGTAAGACACACCCATGGGAGACTGCACCACTTTTGAGCCAGGTATACTCTTTGACCATGAAAATTATGTGTCACAATAAGGGCAGAAACAAGGAGGGACCCTATAAATTAAATGAAGGAACCCCTGTTGTAGAGCTACTAGGGTGCAGCAGACTGCAAGGGGGAGTTTAACCTCAACCAACACCAGAACTTATCAACAGAACTGTAATAAAGCGTCCAATTCGTGGTAGGAGAAGGATACCAGGGCCACTTACATATGTGGTCTTATGTGGCTGGTCCAGCTCTAATCAACACCAGTACCCCCCTGTAAGAAGAGATAAGAAAAAGGATGCGATAGGCTCAAAGGGAGAAAGTGTAAGGGCATGGATCACGACTTTCCAAGCAAGGATGGTAGAAGGATGGGGTTGTGGAAAAGGAACAAAAACAATAGGGTGAGAACCAGAGAAGTGAAGACACAGTGAAATCTTGTGGCTGACAAGGCCTCACAATAATCAACAATAGTGGATACCGAAAGCTCCTGGTAAAAAAAAAACAGTAGGGAAGGAAGTCACATGTGGGAAAGTAGGACGGGATGAAGAAAATCCATGGAAGGAAGACCAATGGCAGTAGACATACTACTTACACTGGTAAACTGGCATGGAGGAAAGACAGAATGGGAAATCAGGGAAGCAACCCATGGGGAAAATCTTGTCCATCTGGCAAGGGACTAGACAAAAACAGAGTGCTGGATGGGAATGATGTTGTGTACCCAACTGAAGTTGTCTTAAGAGGGTGAGTGAGAGGGGTAGAGGAAGAGGAGGTATCAGAAAGAGCAGGCACAGAAGTAGAAAGAACAGCTGCATCAGCCAAAGTGGTGCCACCAAGAGGACATACCACAGTGTGGCTTGAATGACTAAGAGGACATGCCACAAAGTTGCTTGAATGACTAAGAGGACATGAGAAAGAAGATGGATGAGTAGATAGGCACAAAGGGAACAGTCCCCAATTCTGACTGAAGGCATTGACAGCTACAGCCAAAGGATGTGGAATTGGGGACCAAAACCTTGGTAGCTAGGAATTCAGGTGGGTGGTGAATGCATTCAGTCCTGGAGTACCCCAATAGGAATACAGCCAGAGTCTAATATACATACAAATTATATTGTAAAAGCATTTTAATAACAAAGGGATTAATACCTTAAAAACAATAGTCACTTTTAAAATATTTTGATTTTATTTTAGTATAAATTTAAGAGCTATTTACCATAGATGTGATTCTGATCACATTATGAAATGAGTATGTGAAGCTAATGTATATGTGGAACATATGCAGGCACACTTTTTCTACCTCCTTGTTTAACCCTTTAAGGTCAGGTGTGGTAAATAAACACTACGTATCTTGCTTGAGAGCCAGGTGAGGTATATAAACACATTCCTATTTATTAAAGACGGGTGCAGTTTTAAAATCACTATGACTCTGCTCTCTTTCTTTCCCTTGCTTTCATTGGTTAATGCATTTTAAAGTCATAATTTGATTGGATAAGCACCTTTGCATCATTAGATACTATCCACTGAACCATCCAGCTACCTCTACATTATCACATGCTAGCAAATGAAATATCTATTTATCGAAGGCTGTACTTACTGTAAAACAATGAGCGGTATTTGAATTAGATACATTTTCTTTCAGTTATTTTTATCATGGACGAATCGTCATGTCATCCTCATTCATGCGTACCAAAAAAGGCCTTTTAGCCCTCGATCAATGCGTGAAATTATAAATGAATGGAGTGATTAAGAAGAATTGTTTGATTTGAGTGACATTCCTTCAGACAGCGATAATATTTCAAGGGATGAAAGTGAGCCTGAGGTATGTTCAGATAATAGTGATACTGGTTATATTACATGGAAGAATGGGGATGATTTTGTGCCTCGTGACTGTTCATTCTCTAACGCAAATTTGGGAATTTTTGATTCATTTCCTATTCAAGAGAATGCATCAATTGTTGAATATTTTCTAGCCTATTTCGATAGTGAACTTATGAAGAAGACTGTAGACAATACTAATATGTATCGTGAATTTTGTTTACACAGTTATGATGTACATCAAAAAGCGAAAACCCAGCATTGGAGTGTGACAAAAATTGATGAGATGTACTCCTTTTTTTTTTTAACTTATTTTACTAATGCCTCGTGAAAAAAAGAACAATAAAAAAGTACTGGTCAAAAGACGCTATGATTGCTACAGATGTTTTTGGAAAATAAATGACAAGAGACAGGTTCCTTAAACTACTTAGGTACATTCATTTTACTGATAATGAGCTTCCTGATGAAAGTGATAGATTGTAAGAGATAAGGGAAGTGATTACTATTTTGAAGACAAAGTTTTATGCTTTTTTCTGCCAATTTCAAAAAATTGTAATTGATGAATCCTTAATGTTATTCAAGGGGAGATTGATATTCAAGCAATACACACCGTTAAAGTGTCATAGATTTGGAATAAAAATCCAAGTTCACTGTGATTGTGAAACAGGAATTATTTTGGATTTTGTTGTTTCTACAGGTACTGATATTGACGTTGCTAAAAAAAGATCCTCATGGGGCTTCAGGTGCCATTGTGAAGAAATTGATACAGAAATACTAAGGGAAAGGCCACCTGTTGTACATTGATAATTGGTACTCTCGTCCTGGTCTATCTTTATAATTGGATTCATGTAATATTGGCACTCGTGGAACCATAACAGGAAGAATGTTCCTATGTTTGCTAAGCTAAAATCTGGTGAATGTGAAGGGAAGAAAAGTGGTAATTTGTTGGCTATAGGTTGGGATGATAAACGTAATGTGATAATGCTTACCACTTTTCTTAAATGACAAATGGTTAACAGTGAAAGGGAAAATCATAAAACAAATAAAATTGTCAAAAAGCCAGATTGTGTAATTGACTACACTCATAATACACAGTATATTGATAAACTGACATGCAATTGGCCACCACAGAATGTGTGTAAAGTGGTACCAGAAGCTTTTTTTTTCATTAGATGGGCCTATTTGCGCTAAATGCTCATAATATGTACCTAGTCAAAATGGGTGATTGCCATTTGAAATTCACATATTTCATTAGGGAGTTTATAAGGCAACTTCTTGAAAAATATGGTACCTTGACTAGTGTCAGGCCTAGTAGAACAGTGAGTGGTAACATTGATGGTCTGAGTGCTGTAAATTTTATGGAAAGACACTATCCTGAAGATGTACCTTAAACAGGAACTCAAAAAAAAAGCAGCAACCCAGATGTTTTGTATATTCTAGTACTAGCAAGGGAGAAAAAAAAAAAGACTACCAATGTAACAACATGATGTCCAGAATGCAAGGTTGGTCTATGTTTAGGTAGCTGCTTTAGAATTTATCAAACACGAAAAACTTTTCAGAAAACTTGGTTAGAATCTTATTATTAGTTTATAGCAGTGGTGTACCTAAGGTATGGCAGGTATGTCATGTACCCTGGGCACCACTCGAAGGGGGGTGCTACTGAGCAGTTTCTATTCAAGTCAGACAAGCCATCCTCGAATAGTGAAAAAAGGATTTTCTTCAGATGTATGATCTGTCTTTGATTATCATGGGTGAGAAGCACTAGGATGGCCTAATTGTTAAACCACTTATATAAATTATTAGGTAAAAGTACAGTGCTGGGAGCAACATGACCACATACCTCATAGTACTACTGCTCAGTGCCAACTGGCAATAAGACCATTCTCCTGCACAATCTAGGGAGGTAGTCCAGAATTTTGTGCAAAATCTACGAAATTTAATGTTCTTATTAAAAGTGCCATTTCCTTATTTCAGAGCATTGTGTAAAAAAAACCATGAAACATTTCTTCACGAAGAAAGAGGAAAGTGGAGCTGAAGAACGGAAGAGACAAAAGTTGGAGGAAGAAGAAGCCAAGAAGTCGAGCAAATTGTTCATGCACTTCTTTGAAAAACCCGGAACAAGTAGTTCGACATGTTCCATGGAGTCGCCTGCTCCAGCTACAAGTTTGTTAGAATTCAAAGGTGGATCAAGTACAAATGCGTCACAAGCCAAGGAGAAAGTCAAGTCATAAATCCAAGTATAACGAGATTAAGAGTGAGGCTGCCAGAAAGAACATGGACATGACAGGAGGGGTAGACAATGGTGGTGGTGATGTTGAGTTTATGGATGAGATTTTATCTGACAAGACTGAACCTGACGACACTGAACCTAGTGAATTGGATGGTGTTGAAGAGCCTCGAACTGTCATACCAGAAATGATTGAACAGCATGACATTGGACTTCTGAAGTTTGACAAGGATACTGGAAAAGCAATTCTGCCTGACACATTGAGAACAGAAATAATAAAGCTGGGATCGAAGTATTTCCAGAAAAGTGAGTGGCCTTTCCTACTAACAAATAACTGCTCAATGAACAAAACTTGGTTCAAGAGGAAATTGGGAAATGGTCATGGTGAGGAAGTGACTCGCTCATGGCTGGTCTATTCCCCTTCTAAAAAATCTGCATTTTGTATTTGTTGTCTACTCTATTCCTAGTCAGACCATCAGTCCTCATTGGAGCAGGAAAGTGGATTCAATCAGTGGAAAGCACATGAAAGGATTAGTGTTCATGAAAAATGCTAAGAATCACTGGGAGTGCTTCACACGATGGAAAGAAATTTAGCTGAAAACAGAGGAGTTATTGATGCGGAATTTCAGTCACAGATTGAGAATGAATAGAAGAAGTGGTGTGATATCTTGACGAGAATCCTTCACTGCATAAAATTCCTTGCGATTCAAAACTTGGCTTTGCGAGGACACAGGGAGTCACTTCAGCTAGACTATGACTCCAATGTGGGAAATTTCCTTGGCTTACTGAAACTACTGGCCATCTTTGACCTTGTCATGAAAGAACACCCCACTCGTGTGGAAAGTCATCCTGGATCCACGTCTTATCTTTCACCGGGTGTCCAGAATGAATTCATCCACATGATGGCATCCACTGTTCACTAGAGTTTACTGAGAAGCATTCGTAAAGCCAAGTACTATGGTCTCATGTTCGACTCGACTCCTGATCAGGCACCCCGTGAGGAGATGTCAGAAGTAGTGAGGTACGTGGAAACTGATTTTGAGAGGAAAAATAGTCCGTGTTAGAGAGTCCTACTTTGGTTTTATCCAGATAAGACAGAAAGATGCTGAGAGCTTAGTTAAAGACATCTTGCAACAGCTAGAGAAGGATGAAATGGAGCTACAAGATTGTCTGTCACAGTGCTATGACTATGCTGCTGTAATGGCTGGACACAGAAGTGATATTCATTAAAGAATAAGTGAGAAAAACAACTTGGCAGTGTTTGTGAATTGCAACAATCACTCACTCAACTTGGTGGGTGTACATGCAGCCAAGCAGAATACAATGATGGTCACATTTTTTAGAATCATCAAAACTCTACGTGTTCTTCTCTTGTTCAACACAGTGCTGGGAAAACTCAAAAACACCGTACCTGTGGTTGCTAAGTTGCAGTCCAAAACCAGGTGGAGTGCAAGGACAGAAGCAATAAAGCCCATCAACAACTACCTTAAGGAGATACTTCAAGTTCTCCAAGACATGACATACAATGAAAACGAGACCAGTGAAACAAGAAGTGACGCAAGGCAGCTGTATAACCGCATGTTGAGTTACGATTTTCTGACTTTGCTAGGATTTTGGAACAAAGTACTCA